GTTACATTGACACCCGCGCCTCACTTTTATCCGCGACGCATGAATGAATGATAGCGCGCGCGTACACACACATTCACACACGTACAGGAACGGGGGCAGTTCCGAGGTTACGCCAAGGGAGCGGCTGCCTCTCGACGGCGTCGGTGGCGGCGGTGGCCGCCGCGGCAGACGGTTTCATCGATTGGCATTGCCGGCAACGTCCGGAGAGAGAAGAGAGAGTGGGGTTCGTGAACTCTGAGGATATATCTATATGCGCGCCACAGCGCATCCCGTCGACCCCCAGTTTTCATGGTCACGGGTGAGAGAGGGCGGTTTCCCTCGACGAAAGTCGAATGTCGACAGTCGGGGCACTGTATGAGTGACTCGGATGCGACCCTGATAATGATTTCGGTGTTAACCCTCGGAAATAACTGCCTTGGAGCTGATACATCTGCTCTTGTCCATATAAGCCGACCTTGATATCTTTCTCCGGAAGACCGGATATCTCCGATATGTCTGTCGAAACCAAAAGATTCCTAATTTTCTTTTAAGATAACCTAATTACTACTTAGGAATTTTTGGTACTTCCTGTGTCGGAGTTGTTGCCAGAGTATAAAGGAGAATATCGATAAAGCATATTGGGTATACAAATACGTATGGTATACAAATTTTACGTGTCCAATTGGAGTGACAGGCGAAATTAATGAGATGTGTGTAAATAAGAGAGGTGTGAATTCAGGTGCATTCCGTTTGCATTCCGTTTTCTTTCTCTCTCTCTCTCTCTCTCTCTCTCTGGTAATGTTCTGGGTGAAGTAATTATTCTTCTCCGTTTTTCTTTCATTCCAAAAGTTTATAGGAATTTCACGCTCAAGAGCTAATATCACACTTATCGCACCTTGCAGAGGGGAATGAGAGTCGGGAGAATGCTTATCGCGTTTCGACTGCCACGGCAAAACCAAGGTGTCCAAGTGTCACCTGCGTTTTCCTCAAAGTTGCTTCAAGGCTGCTCGAGAAACTTTTGGCAAATATTCGCGCACAAAAGCCTGGGTTTAACTGGACAAGCGCTAACGGCCCTCAAACTACGGAAATATTGCCGAGTCTGTGTGTGTGGTGTAGTGAGGAGTAAGAATAGGAATAAGAGTAAAAAATAAAACGAATTTATTTCGCTTATGCCTATACTCCAGCCCTTACGCCGAAAGTTCTGCCTAATAGATATTTCCGGTGTGAGGGAGCTGGAGTTCAGACGTATATATAAGTGAAATAAATTAGTTTTATTTCTTACTTCATACGCTACGCTTACGCAATACTCCACGTATTGTAGACGATCCTTAAAGGGACGTCTACATTGGAAGTAAGCAATAAGAAGTAAGAATAAGAAATTGACCAATCATAGTTGATTATTTTTCTCATATTCGACTGTGGTTGGTCAATTTCTTACTCTTACTTCCTACTTCTTGCTATTTACTTCCAATGTAGACGTCCCTTAAGTCGTATTACTAAAGAATCGCTTCTCTCTCATCTAAGACAAAAATCAACAGAAAAAAAGAGACAAAAAATCAATACGCGAGAAAAAAGTTTTAAATATAAATCATCAATAGAAATTTACCGACCATACCGTAATCAGAGTAAATCTTCTTGATTCAACAGCAATGCCATTGAAACCAATACCAGAGTCATCGAAACCATATATACGATGAGTTGTTTTCAACGGAGGGTTTACTCCAATTACAGCGGTGTCGGCGACTTCTGTTAACACAACAGCATTTTCTTCCCGTGTATTTTGCCGGATAATGTCTCGCAGGGCGACACATGTTCGCCGAGAGTCGAAGTCACGAGGCGGCGAAGCCATTCGCGCGGCGTATATCGGTCGGCGTTGTCCACGTAATTGCAAGGGATTAAGTGCGACTTACAGCAAGATCGTCATCCGTGTGCACAAGTGCCGCCCGGCACACGAGGAAAGGCAGACGTCAGCCGGGGTGACGTGGCGGTCGAAGTGTGGAGCGGCGAGTGTACCGGGTGTGCGTGAACGCCTAGTAACACACCGCTCCGTGTCGCGGAATGGAAACAGATCTTGGGGAGACGCTAATCGTGAGCGAGTCGGGTAAACGCGATCACGTTGTGTGGAGGCGCGCCGCGCCGCGGAGTGCGTTGCGCTTCGCACAGAAGCCCCTCGTTTGCCTTGAAGCGGCCACCGCCGCGCTGTGCGCACGATAAATTGCAGATACCACGACGATTTTCCCTCGGGGAAACGCGAAAATCCGCGACGCCTCGCGCATCATTTCAAGTACTCCGCGGAACCATCGCCGCTACATTACGTCTCGGCGATCTCTACAAACACAGCATTCCAGCATTCTGAGTCGTAAATCGACGTTCCTCACGATATCTACCCAGATAGACTTTCATGATTATCGCGGCGTAAGACCATCGATGATGGAAACTTTCCAATTTCTTTGATCATACATTTACGTAGTAAATTTCAGTAGTAAATCTACTGAATTAGTGTGATTAAATTTATATCAAACAATAATGCAAATTTTCTGTATTGATGTAGCATCAAATCTATTTAAATGCTACACTCAGATCTACTGTATTTAACGGGACATATTGTTAGGGGTAAATTTTGATCGTTTTTTTCGTGTTTCTATTTCGTCATTTAATGTGATAAGTGTGAGTGCAATTTTACTAGTCAGAAAGACATTGTTGTGTAGAATTTCTTGATTTAATGTGTTTAAAGCTGCTATAAAGTTTACGTACATCCGCGATATTATCTATAAATGAAGATTGATTCTGCCTTAAATGAGATACAAAACGCTCGCGTTGCTTAACACATTGAACTAAATTACCTAATGTTCTAATTGATATCTGATATTGAATTATCATATTTTCTTAATAATAAACGTAGAATTCTCAATATTGAACTTGAAACATTTAAAGCCTTTCAGACAAATTGATATAGTTGCATATATATATACAACAAAACTGACCATTCGTGTATTTGATATAAAATCGTGTATTTGATCTAAAAGACGTACTGCATGCACTATAATTGGTTGATTTCCTCATGCATGCGCAGGTTTGTCTGGATAGGTTAAATATTAAAAAAACATCAAAGTAAATGCATAACCGATATCATATATCGATATCTAATCTGTCCTATACTCGCGGTTATAGCATCACGAATCGTGATATATCTAACGTCATACTTCATTCCCGATGTGTTCTGCGTGCACAAAGGATTAACGGCGAGTGTCGCGAGGCACGGAGCCTCAGGAAATGCGCGTTGCGTTCTCGACGACGACGAGAGGAAGACGCATAATGCGTGTGCTCCCTGGGCGCCGTGTGCATCTGTCAAAACCACGCCCTTGTCCCGTCCTGCCAGCCGGCGTTGCCCACTTGTGCACGAAGGACGAGCGAGATTGCCTTTTTCCGCGATCGAAACGATCTGCCGCGATTCGATCTAATATATCATCGACGTCGCGTCCAATTAGATATACCTCGTACGTGCACAGACGCACAGAGGGGATCATGTCGGGACGGATGAGTGATCCATAAGCGAAATAACTCGTAGGAAACAAATATACGTGTTTATCACGAGCAAGTATCGTGTTAGCTTGTTGTGTCAGAAGAGCACGTGAATCGGATACGAAATTTGACAAACACGCGCTTGACAATGATGTTACACGGAGAACGAAGTGCTTGAACATTTATTTGTGACATATGAAGCTTACGGAAATGAGTTCTTCAACAAACAAATTTCAAAATCTTTTTTCCCGGTGTACACTCAGTTGCAAAACGCTTTTCACACTTCTTTCCCCAATAAAGTTCCAGGCTGTCACGATTGCGAGCCATTTCTGACTGATTTACACAGCGATTGGCTGTCTTTTGTTACTAGCCAATTACTGCGCAAACTTGTGGCAACTTGAAGCGCTCTGCAACTTTTATTAGAAAAAAAATGAACGAGGACCGTTTTGCATCCGACTGTACCTCATAATCGAACGACCGGAATCGCGTTAGCTGCATTTACCGTTTCGTTTCCAATTTCTCCGTCAGATTTCAGGAGAAACGTCATTCACTCGAGATATCATTATCGTGCGGGACAGGAGACCAGAAGTGTGTACATCGCGTTTCCATGCCGCGAGGAGAGCTCTCGACCACACCCCTGGGTCCATTTTCGATCGCGCTACGTCGTCGAAAGGCCGATCGATCGATATCTCGCTGCGTCGTGGGCCCGGCCGGCAGCGACGGTGCACCACATAACCTCGAAATTATCCCGGTTTCCCGGAAGTCCCACCTTATCGCCGCGTTGTCATTATCACCGTGGAGATTATATCGCGCGCCCGCACAAGTGGTCAAGCCGGGTTCCCTTTTATAAGATGGCCACACGAAAGGAAGCCGATCCTCACGTCATTTCTGTCATCGCGGCTCGCTCTCACTCGTCCACGAAATTAAAGGAACGACCTACGATAACGATTCTCGCAGCGCCGATGCGAGTCATCGAAAGAGCAATCGATCGCGATCGATAAGACCGATAATGTCGCAGCGAACGTGATCACAGCCGTGTGGGGCCGGCTAAGATACCTCGTTGATTCCGCTAATTTAGCGTCTCCAGCGACGAGACGGAGAGAAGTTCCGCGTAATCAAGTGTTGCGAGTAAATGTCGAGAAGACGCCGTGTGTATACATGGTGTTTCGTCGCCGATCGCGCGTTTACGTTCAATGGCAGATCTCGAGAAAGACTGTTTCTCGATTTACGCGACCTACTTGTGTCCGAGGGGTACGAGAGACGGAAGGAAGAAGCTGGGACGTCATTCGTGGTCGGCTCCTGAGAGAGCGACGTACGACACACGACAGTCCGAGGACGAAAGGGAGGCTAACGATGACGCCGCTCGCGGGCGTTCATGCCGGTTCGGCTCGACTCGCGGCTTCGATCGGCTCGATATCCGCCATTGCACGCGCGCGTTACCGCGCGACGAAACGATCCTCGACGATGCAACTCACGCCGGGTCGGAAAGCTACACTGACCTGTCAGATGCGAGTCGCGAGGGCGCAGGCAGCCGCGGGCACTATCGCAGACGTGGACGTTGTTCAAGGGCAGGCCGTAGACGGTATACTGGCTGGCCGGTCGACGCTTCTGCGGCACGTAACACCAGGTAACAGCGTCGAACGGCGTCCGCATCCCTTCTCTGTCCAATGTCGGCCCCTCTCCTCTACCCGGCGGCCCAGGGCCGACACGGAAAAGGGGATTCGATGGGGTGGCTTGTAAAACAGTTGGGATACAATGATATTGAGAGGGGTTCATCAAACTGTCAAAATTCAAAGTTATTACTCTCTATGATAAATTTGGCCACAATAATTATATTTATTATTATTTCCAGACACCTTTAACCCCTTGTCCACAACCTTGCTTTAATCTTTAAGCCGTAATAAATTGACCAATTATAGTTGATTATTTTAAAAATAATCAACTGTAGTTGGTCAATTTCTTAAGGCTTAGGAATTTAAGTAAGGTTGTGGACAATATATTGGCTCAATGTATGTCAATGTAACCAATATTAAGCTAATATAATGTCAATGAACTGTGTTAGGGATATTGATCCTTAATTACATTATTATTACATAAATGGCTCCCAATTTTGACAATTTATTTATCTCCCTACTTCCAACTGTTACAAGTGCTGCTCCTGAAAGTGACAGAAGTTCAGACCACGTCGAAGCATTCGCGTGAGGATTTCTAGAAAAAATAATAATGTAATGAGTAATTAATGAATGTGTGATTGACGTGTTATGAAAATAAAATTGATATAATGAAAATTATTCATGAGTACTTGAATGAGTCTTTATGAGAATAAACCTATGCTTCATTCAGTGAATATTAGGATTGCGGACGAGTTATCCTAATTTTCATTGTGTCGCATTTGCCGTAAATATTTTTGAAATATTGTTAGTCGCATTTCTATCCCAACTTTTTTGCAGTATAAAACGCAGCGTCTGGGAACCGTAAACACTTGGATCGTCCCTGGGATAAACTCCACCACTTCCAAAAGCGGGACCAATAGACGAACGGCTCCTATGCTCCCTGATAGTGCCGTTGAATCGCACCCTTCGCTACCCCTTTGCAGCCATTGCTTCTGATCGTCTCCTTGACCGTCATCCGGGGATGGCTGATTCACCCTCGACGACGGCGACGATGACCGGGGAATTCACGTGCGACGGCGCCGCGAGTTTGACATTGAACGACGCTTGGCTTCGCTCGGCTTCCTCGGCGACGATCTTTTTGCTTGGCAGTGTCAGCTCGCCCCACCGTTTCTCTCTCTCTTTCTCGTCCTCTAACTGAATCGCTCTATTCCGGGCGTGATAAACGTAGGCAGGGTGGCGAAAGGGGAAACCCGAAATATCCGGGGGTTGGCGCGTGCCGCGCCAGTGAGTCAGCCGGGTCTTATATTCAGGCCCAGCTGCGCGTCATATGTTCGCCCGGCCGTGTGATTCCGGTGGAGAGAAGTCCAACGAGGCCGATCGCCACCGAGGAGCGAAACCGGTTCGCGATTTCTCGCAGAGTTCTGGACACACGTTCCTCGCGGTTTGTGCGCGAACGAAAGTTAACTGAACGAAATGCGACTATCGGCATGAAATCCTTCCTGTTCGATCATGTTATCCAGCAACAGCAGTTTCTTTTACCCGTAATAAAGATTTGCTGTGTTCAGCTTATGTTATCAAGTTATTTTAACATAAGAAGCTCGATTTATCTCATGAAAAATAAACCATATTCAACGAGCTGTAACTTCTGTAGAAATATTGATATTAAGGTAGTCTAAGAAGCATTTTACAGCACAAAGTCTCCAATTGTGTGTCATTCATATTTTCGCCTACAAGGTTTACTTCCCTTTTACAATATTAACGAGAAATATCCATCTATAAATAGAAATCCATTAAGTGTCAAGATGTTTCTTGAGTTGCATTATGTAAACTAACATTCGTATACAAATGGTATTTGCATTATTTAAAAATATGAAGCTTTGTTATTTATTTTTTCAGTTATTCAATATTAAAGTATGAATGCACTTTTGGCTTTAATTTTATAAAAAGTAGAAACAAATTGTGTCTACTAACGTTCACTAACAAATGAATAGAAAGAGAAGTTGTAGCGTGCTTTGTCATTTCAGTTTAAAGCCAGTATTCATAATTGGGTTTTATATTTAAGGGTCTGTAGGAGTCGTAGACAAAATGTAAGTTGACTTTAAAGCTTCTTCGTGCGCCAAAAGCACGAAGAATTGCCTCTGTGTGTATGTGTATGTCCACACATGCCGCATACAAGTGCATTATTTGCGCGGACGCAAGAGTAGGAAGGTTGGTTCAAGTTAATTAGATAAAGAACAAGTTATCGAACGTCATCCTTATCTCTCCTTAATTGTCAGATGCGTCAACTCATCCCTCATTGCGGCTCGCAACCTATATATTTCATAACCGATAACTCGGTTAGAAAATGCTTTCCAGGCTTTTGGCCGAGGAGACAGAAACATAATAAAGACTACAAACGTTTAATTTTTAAAAGTATATAATATAATATTCATTATATGTATGGATATATTTACATAAAATATAGTAAAATATCTAATATAGAACATGCTTACCCAGTTACGCAGAATGAAAAATATTTTTTGCTGACCGTCAATAAAATAGGAACCTATTTTATATGTAAATTTTCAAGGGCTTAAATGCAAAATCTGACTCTGTAGCACAATCATCACTTATGCAAGGAAAAAAAAATGTTTGTGAGCAAATATAGGCCGGTATTCATAGTTGGATCTTATATTTAAGATCGTCTAAGTTCATCTTTAGATGGTTTACAGATGTGATTTCATTGGCTACAAAGCATGTGAAAATAAACTTAAAACGGTTTTAAATATAACATCCGACCATGGACATAGTATATATGGTCCCCGCATACGGCCAGAAAAGTGGAGCCAATATGTACAGCCCCTCTGTGTTCTCTATTTCTTTCTGCACAGACAAAGTGTGCACAAAAAGAATTAAAAACTCTCCTTGAGTATCATCAATATTTAACATAAAGAACAATAAGAGTTCAAGCACAGGTTGAATAGTGCTTTGATGATTAATAAATTTCTTCTCTTTGTGAGATTGGATCACTATTTTTTAATAGTTTTAATAGCACTATTCAACCTGTGCTTGAACTTTTATTGTCCTTTACGTTAAAGTGTGCACAATTACACAAATAGAAATTTAAGTAAGACTTTGACTTGCCAGTCTAGTCGCGATGCTGTTGCGCTCTATAATATTATGAAAACGAGAAATGGATACATGCGCAACAAAAACGTGACAAAATAGAAAGAAAACTATAGCCCCTCTATTCTAGCTTTCTTTCTAGATGTTGGCTTCACTCTATCAGACGACAAAACATAGGGCATTCGGAGTCCATGTATACTATGTCCATACATCCGACTATGAAAACCGGTTATACTGTCGCATTGCGATGCAAAATATATACGCGAAGTTATAAACTTTAGGCTCCTACAGTTCTTAGTGGTTTCTTAGCGCCATCTAATGATGTGTAAAGAAATTAGTTCAACTTAAATGGTTTGAGTCTTAACTAAATGTATGAGCGTCAGGATTCAAAGTTAATTTAGCAAATAAATGATAACGTCACAAATTAATCTAAAATCTCGACTATAATTAACTACTATTTTTAACGAAGAATGAAGGTCATAGTATAACTCAAAGTAGATTTAATTTTTAAGTAGTGTGACTATGATAAACCAAATGTACTTTATCACAATATGCAAAGTTTAACGGGTTATAACTTTGCTAAAAATAATGATAAAGTAGTTTAAAAAGTATTTTACAACTTGGTCTAATTTTCATATATATTTTCAGATATAAAGTTCATTTTTTTCTTTACATTACACAAATAGAAATGGAGATCCGTTAATATTTAAATATATCTCGTATTGAAACTCTAACTCTGAGATAATACAACTGACTTATTAAGAATCTACATCATTGCTAATTGAAACCAACTTATGCCATGTGGTTTTTTACTTTATTCTTATTCATTTCAACGATACAACTTAAACAATTCACGCACTTAGATGCTTTTCGAACCACAGATATAACTGTTAGTTCATAGTTTTGAGCAAAGCTACATATTATCGGCATACTTCATATAGCAATAAAATATCTTCGTATAATTACAAGAATTCTTTTCTTTTTCTGATTACTTCTTGTATATATCTCGAAGAATTTTAATAAAACTTAATGTTACAAACTTCCCAGTAGGTACATGTGGAAAATTTCTCTATATAAGGTATCGTATTATCAATAAAAAAATTTATATAAAAGCAAACCAATATTTTATTTTTTAATAATTCCACTCCCGTTAAATTTCTTTCCAGATTTCGTTTCTTGATAACTGTAGATACATAAAATATGGATTTAAGTGCGAATATACTTTACTTAATATTACAAGTAATAAACTTGGATACACAAATAAACGTATTAGCACAAGAATTAATTCTTTCTCAAAAATGAAAAAGATAAAATTCAACAAATTGTAACTTTCACGATAAAGTAAGGACAAAGTGGTTCAAGAAGCATTTTACAGCGTGAAATCTAACTTACAGATGTACTTCCGAGTATAGAGTTTACTTATTTTTTACAATATTACATGAATATAAATCGAAATCCACCAAATGTCAAAATGTATCTTGTTCACTCAGTCTGCTTTCTGCTTGCTGCTCTCCGGTGACTTATCGCCATTCATAGGTGAACGGGAACGACTACGGCTCTTGCTGTGCTTGCTTCCCGATCGTGATCTAGATCGGTCACCTCGCGAGCGTTCGCGGCTTGATCTATCCCTAAAACAATAAACGAAAAGCGGTTAAGAGTTCATTCGCGTCTTCGTCGATTGATGACCTATTTTTCTTGCGCCAAGTATTTCGATCAGAGCGAACAAAGCCGTAAACGCATTGATAGGAACTCACTTTGAGGGAGACTTGGCTTTGGATTTGGACTGCGACCTGGACTTTGACCTCTCAGCCTTGGACCTAGAACGAGATCTGGATTTGGACTTTGACTTAGATTTCGACTTTGAGCGGTCTCTTGATCTGCAAAATTATAGTTCAAAATGAAAGGGGGCAAAAAAGTAGAGTAGCTAAATACAAAGAAACTCGTTTTTTTTTCGTTTTCCAAGCACGCGCGGTGAGTGAGTGATCGCGTGTAAGCGTGATCAAGCGTGAGAGCTCAAGGCACGTAGCCAGCCCAAAAACATAGCCAATATAACAAATAGGAATGAGAGTGTACGTTGATCGTGACGATCGATAATAGCGCAAGAAAAAAATATAAAACAAGTGAAATAAATACGTGTGACTATGAGTGGGAACGAAAACGGCTAAATGACGAAATAAATGTGGCGTAAGAAACGTGATCCTGTATAGAGACGACATATTACTCACTTGGATTTGGAACGTGAGCGGCTGCGCTCCGGCGATTTGGACTTTGACTTGGATTTAGATTTTGAGTGTGCCCTGGACTTGGAACGGCTACTGCGGCGACTGCGACTACGGGAACTGCGGCGACTCCTGCGATAAAAATACGAATAGCGATTAAAAATGCATTTCGTGCTTTCTGATTGATTTTCAGTATAGTCGCAAAACCATCTAATGCGATAGATTTTGCGATAGGGTGCACAAGAATTTTCTGACTTTTATTGAATGATCAAATAAAACAGATTCAACGAAAGCATAGTCATAACATACAACTTGTGACAAAAAATTGTCTAATATCTTGAACAATGATGAGTGATTTCCTCAGCACTTGTAGAAAAATAATAAAAGGAAACGTTGCAACCTCCCCTGCGGTCGCAACGTAACTACAGAAATCTAATTTGAAACTACACAGAAATAATAATTAATATTAATCGACTTGCACAAATAAATTGTGAAGCAAACATGTACAATCAGTTGTACATAAACAAAAATAAATCATAATTAAAAAAAGGATAGGTGACAAAATGTCGCCCCGACAGTACCTTGATCGGGATCGAGAACGACGATTATACCTTGAGCGGGAACGCGACCGACGACGAGATCTTGATCGAGATCGTGAGCGTGATCTCGAACTAGATGACCTCGAACGACGGCCGCGTCTCTTGTCTTCGATGAGTCTAATCCTGCGTCCGTTTAGTTCGGTGTCGTCCAATTTATCGATAGCATTCTTCAAGTCCGAATATGTGGCAAACTCGACGACTCTGCAAAATGACAGATTTTAATCATTGAAAATTCAACACAAAACGAGGATGATATGCATGGCACAATTATGTCGTTCTCAATGGAATCGCGTAAAACTGTTTGAAACTTATCGCCAACAATAACTGGCGATAATTAATTAATAACACATGTTATATTAGCATATGAAGAATAAACAATTAGTATATGTGATTCATTTAATCACATATGCTAGCGATAATATCTTCTTACCCTTCGTTTCTCCGCTGTTTATGAGCATCCGCATAGGTCACTTCTCCAGCTTGTCTCATATAATCCTTCAAATCCTGGACATCACACAAGAATGAGAATTAATATTTCGGCCCGATCGGGTGAAGGTATATTCGCATTAATATGCAATAGATTTAGAATTAGTAGTTACGTATGGAGTTCACTACACTGTGTTCCTAGTCTGATATATATCGCGCAGGTTAAGATATATATATGTATATATATATCCTGTGCACTCGATACGCTATATACGTCCTATCTCGATCTTTTCCTATGGGAGATAACGTAACGTCTACTCTTAGTGAAAAAAAGAGACAAGTGGCAACAGTGCCTACACATCTGCTCGTCGTATCTTCAGTGCTGAGCAGCAATGTTACGAAATGTGTAAGTGTATGTGTGTGTATGTATATATATGTGTGTGCTCGAATTTAGTATCTACTGTCAAAGCAACCTTTCTTTTGATGCAATTCAATCCTCAGAACAAGCGTGGTTATCATTTCAGATACAACTCCGCTCTGCAGAACGAAAAACCCAGCATTGTTAATATTCATCACATATACAACATAAAGCGATAATTTAATATTTCTGGAGTACAAATTCGTTTCTGCAGAGAGGTTCACAATAGAATTACAACATATGTATAGTATCTGTATAACACATTCAATAAAAGAAATATATTTATATATTTCTACTTAATATTTAACACATTATTTCGTATAGTAATTTTCTGGAAAATTAAAACTTTGTGTGTATAACTGTAAAAAAATAGCTATGACACACAAATGTAAAGAATAAAATGCATAAAATCTCTAAAGGACTTATTCAAACAAGTTTTACACATTAAACGGAAAATGCACTAACGTTCAGTAAGAAATAAGTGAAAACTCGGCAACGTGAAAATCGAACTAAAGCGAAAAGATAAAAATTACACGTAGTCTCTCGCTGAGAATTCGAATCCTGAAGATAGCGTGGATGGTGGACTGTGATTCTCCCATTTGATTCTCTCGTGGAAATGTTTTTTCTGAATGTTGCGCGACGTTTCTTCCATGTTGTCCATTCTTTTCCCGTTCCGTTGTCTTTTCCACATGCTCAAGTCTGAAGGCTGCTTCAGTAGCAGTTGCTCATGAGGGGCATTAATCGGCGATTGAAGATGGATATTGTCTGTTCGGTCCATTTGCATTCATTCATCGCTGGGAGATCTCTGCTTGTATCTCTGTGGGAACCAGGTACGACTTTCGTGTCGTGAACTCGGTAGGTGTGCTTGTATAATGCCGTTCCTTCTTACACGAGAGAGCACTGAGACGTCTCCGTATTCTCCGGGACACTCCGGTGGAGGAATTTCTTTGATACGTGTCGATGCCTCGCGAGATCTGAACGCAAGCGTTTTCACATCACGGAGATAGAAAGAAAGGAAAAAAAGAAAATTCCGGACGCTATTCAATCATGCAATTGTCAAGAAGTGAATTCCCGACACCTGCGACGCCTCATTTCCTTGGAAATATTTAGTTTTCTGGTGTTACGTTCATAAAAGACAGTTTTGTAATGAAATGTAATTGCCTTGCATAAAGAAAAGTTGGCCTCTACAAGATGAAGTCAAACGGAAGAGGCAGTCCGTCGAAAAATGACAAATGTACAAGACATGTCACAACAAATTACTAGTCGTAAAGAATAAAGAGATAGTTACGATATTGATTACGTTACTATGAGCGCGTGTGTATACGCGGCGAGATCTACGACCGAATAACACGTGGATACCTAATTTCGAGCACAGGGATCACTTAAGAAGGTATCCTATCTCCGATATTGGTTTCACTTATTAGTCGCTAGTCTTAGCGTGCACGGCTCCTGGTTACGTAAGATATCTCAACGGTTCGACACATACGCAACGACACCTGAGCTATGGTGCACAGTATTAAGAGTAATGAGGCATAAAATAGAGGTATAACTATATATATATGTATATATAGTATACATATGTGAACAAGACATGTTTAAGTGTATATTTAGTTATAATAGAGATGTGTATATCTAAGAGTACACTCGGTTAAGGTGACGCATTTACCTTGGGCCCAGGCACCACCTTGCTTACGGTCAGAGAGAAAGGCCAGGCACACGGCGCTTGGTTGGGTCGCACGGATTCTGTGTGGCGTAGTCGCGGATGGTTCGGGTTTCGGCCCGCGTATGCCCTCTCATGGGTGGCCGCTGCCTGACTTACTAGATGGCTAGGTCGGTGACGTACCAGTAGCAGTGACAGTCACGGTGAAGTGATGGGTGGCGGATGTGGTGGGTAGTGACGGTGATGATGGTTGATGAAAGTGGAGGTAACTAATTGTGACGATGTCGAGACTTTGTAACAAGGGTTAGAATGGAGGTAGTAGTGAAGAACATGAAGATGATAAAGATGGTGATGATCACGACGATGGTGATATATCAGTGATGATGAGTGTCGGTAAACACGATTATCTCTCTCCCAGATGAACAAAGTAGTAGGCGGTGAGAGTTGTATTGTAGTAGCGTAGATTGAGACTCTCTCTTTCTCTCTCTCTCTCTTTCTGTTTCTTTGTTTCACTTTTTTCCCCCAGTGATTACGATGAGAGGATCGGGCCGTGCGCACGACAACCTATCACTGGGATTTCACCGGGAATTCACCACATATCACTGCGCGCGAGTAGTAGATAGCAGGTGGTAGATAGGTGGTGTGGTAGATAGGTGTACACCCCAGCGCCAACGCGGCTCTCTCTCTCACCCGGGACACCTCAGAAACCACCTGGTGCCACTTGACCTCAAGGAGGGCCCACCGCGTGCATCGTCATCTCTCTATCATCGCACATCATCAGTCTATCGGCCCTATCGGTCGCCCCTCCTCGGCGAAGAGGATATGACTCTTCGGAAAGAACATCAATTTTATTTCGTTTTTTCTTAAACTGCTGCTCGCGCGAACGTAAATGAAATAATAAATTGAAAAAGTAACATCGAAGGACAATCGAGACTCGACCGAAAAATGTATCTTATCGTTAAACGGCAACAACCAATCGTTCGAAAAGAGTGCAACGATATATAGATTATATATGCAATATATACAAATATATATATGTATGTATATATATATATACGCAATGTAAATTGATCAAGTAAGACTTGGTCCACATGCACATGGGGTAGTTTCTGTGTTAGTTTCTCGATTCGACAGAGCTTGAGTGCCTTTTTGGATACCTTTCTGTTTCTTTCGTTACGCTTTTGTTTATTGCGTCCTGGTATTTCCCACATCGTTAAAATTTATCCGTCATTGCCTTATCACGGTCTCTATCTTCTCTGTAGTCCATTATAGTCACTCTCAATCTGTCGCGCTTTCTCTCGCTTTGCACCTCTTCGCCCACAACGTCCGGTCGCGGTTTTCCTCTCGTTGCATTGGTTCCATCATGGGCCGTTGTTACTCCAAGTTCCTCTCGCTGTTGCGTGTCCCTTGTGCTCTCGTATCCGGGAATGGTGGTATATCTCATACGTGTTCTTCCTGTCTCTTCTCATCATCATATGCGTCTTTCTTTTCTCTTTTTTTTCTTTGCCTTTTTTTATTTTCATAGAAAGCAACATTTGTGTATCTAGATAGAAATTTGATTTCGACTTTGCCACAGACTTACTTGATCAAAATGTTACATCTCTTAGTTACAAAACAGGGGTCTCTTTATGAGTAAATGAATGTAAAATGAGACGAAAGAGAATCGAACAAAGGAAAGGAAAGAATGCTACCGCGTGTAGCATGAATGCGCGAGCGTGCGCGTAAATTTGGTCACAAAGAAACCGCGGAAACCCGTTTGAAATTAGCGAGTCGCGATAGATTCGACAAACCCATCAAGGTGATGAAACAACGTACGCTGTCTGGAACCTCGAGTAGTAATCAAACTCTTTGTGAGACACGAAATCGGTAAGAATACAACAGAAAAAAAATAAGCGAGGTACATGTGCCGCTTACCTGCCAACTAACACGACTTGAAAGATTCTCCACAGTGAGACGGTACTCTGTCCGTGTTGGTGGTCCATATCTAGAATGGGAAAAAAATCCGTCTATTATCCTCGTGCATGTCTCTAAAGCAAGCAGGTTTGTCTTGGACCTGACTTTACGTTAAATATAGCGAAAGTAAGAATGGTAAAACGCAAGACTCTGATATAATTCAAAATTGCAACAACAACAATAACAACAACAACAAAGTTGTGTGTAAGTAAAGTTTGTAATCGTTAGAGCGTAACATTAGATGTATGTACCTGGGCAATGATTGCTTGTAGCTAGATGCAGTCCTCGTGTTTCTGTTCACACTATCTCTGCAAAAAGGGATGTCATGTGAACAGAAATAACGGATCGTCGGTTAAACCTTCAGCAAATAACTACAGATCTGCACTCATTGCTCAGGCACACAATCAATCACCTGTTCCAATCGAATCAAATCTATTCAAAATGCAGCAATAGCGTACCTGTCGTGCCGCATATCGTCTCGGCTGTAACAAACACAATACCACACATCTATTAGTCGCCAATTACATCGCTCCATATATCTCAACTACCAGCAATAAACATAATGTCTGGGAGGGTATATCGCTAGGCGTTATTACGATCAATTAATCGTTAATTGACGTGGCTCGACTTTCTCAAAAATACGACGTACGATTCGAGACGTACTCGGGAGAGCAGTCAAATCCAAGACAACCAATTAAGAGAAAGTAACATACGTTCTTCTACTGAACATTTTCGTATGCGCGAACGCAAGTGAAGCTTGCTACGCGAGCTTATTATTTGTCACTACGCTCTCTACACTAGAGCTTATCATATCCAAAATTACGTTCTTCCCTGAGCGGACGATGTGCGAAATCGATTCAAACAAAGGGAAAACGAAAAATCAGAAGTAACAGCAAGCATAATTAAAAGAAAGTGGAAACTAAGAAAAAAAAAAAAAAAAAAAAAAAAAAAA